GCCACTGACAGCCTTCTGGCATGGTTGAGAAAGTCAAACATTTAGATTACTTAGATGGAAAAGAAACACTAGTCCCAATGGGCATTTAGAGACACTAAATGTAATCATCATCTTCATCATCACTGGCACCTTTTTTTCCACCACATACGTTGTGCCAGAAGTACACTAAGCACTTCTCATACGTTAGTCTATTCACTGAGCAACTTCTTTACTTGCCTTATTCCAGTGACTCTAAGGAGCTGAGGCTATTAGGCACTCATCTTTAGATGAGGGAGTTCAAGCTCAGAAATTTAAAGTCATTTGCTCAAGGTAATACAGTCAATAAGCAGTGGATCTCAAACTCAAATCCAAGGACTTATGGCCCCAAAGCCTGTACTCTACTTTTCGGCATCATGTAAACATCTTCAAGAGTCACTTCTAGAACTGGGCAAAACTGCTGAAATAAATAAGCAGAAGCTTGGCCAATGGAGGACAGGAGAGAAGTGGGGGACAGAACCCCTGCCTTCAAAGACTCACCCTTAGGTTATCAGGAGAGGGTTTCCTCACAGAGCAGCTGGAGAAGCAGATAGGACAGGCAGGAGTGTCGGGGGGTACGGGGGCTCAGCTGGCTAGGCAAGACACAGGTTGGAATTCTCCTTCAAGTCTCCCTGTTTTCCCAAGCCCATGGGATCTTCTCCCACCTTGGTTTTACCTTCTGCCATATGCACAACATGGTGGAGTGGGGGTTTCACTCCCTGACTTTAATGCATGTGTCCTCACTCACTGCGTGAAGGTTCATCTTATACAGCACCTAGACTGAGCTAAGGGATGCCCAGATCTGTGATAAAATGTTATTTCTGAATGTGTCTGTGAACATGTTTCTGGAAAAGATTAGCATTTGGACTGATAGACTGGGTAAAAATTATCACCATCATCAACGTGGGTGAGCATCATCCAATCTGTTAGGGGCCCAAATAGAACAAAAAAGTGGAAAAGGGCAAATTCTTTCTCTGCTTGAGCTAAGATATCCATCTTCTCCTGCCCTCAGAGTTCCTGGTTCCCAGGCTTTTGGACTCAGACCAGAATGGCACCAGCAGCCACTAATTTTTAGGCCTTCAGAATCAGACTGAATTACACGTCTGCCTTTCTCTGCTTCACCAGCTTGCAGAAGGCAGATGGTGGGACTTCTAGGTCCCCATGACCATGTGAGCCAATTCCTAAAAATCAGTCAATCAATCAGTCAATCTATGGGTCTGTTTCTCTGAAGAACCTTGACTAATACATACCTTCTCATACTAGACTCTCCACTGGTCTCACCCCATGCCCTCTAGTGCCCTTCTGTCTGAACTACTGTCTGTAGACCTTGAACTTTTCTTTGCTGTGACCAACTCCATCGTCAGGGACATAGCTGATGACACTGTTCAGGGAGCTCAGCCCACCCTGCCAGCTGCTAGATTTCCACCAGAGTGTGATGGAGAAAGAACATAGGCTCACGTCCAGGTCCTGCTCAATATGGCTGGTGACCTTGAGCAAGTCACTGTAGCTCTCCAAGCCTCCTTGCTTTATTTGTAAACCAGAAAACCATGCAGGGCCATTGCATTTGATAGTTTCCTGAGGAGCTAATAAAGGCAAAGAGAGGGAAGGGCTTTGGAAATGGCTTTGGAAAGTGCCCACCAAATTTCCATGTCAGGAGTAACTGTCACCTGGGTGCCGTCACACAGTCCACGGACCATCCAGGTATGATGGATATTGACCTGTTGCCTCCCCAGAATCTGGTCTCCCTCCTCCTGTCAACAGTACCCTGATTTCCCTTTGGGGATTCAGTACATGTGTGTGTCAGATGGGACTGACTGTACCATACCTCCAGGGATGGACCCGATCTACTTTAAGTCAATAAGGATAAACCCTCCTACTGGACACATAATTGGTTTAGGGAAGAGCATGTAACTTAGACTGAGCCAGTGAAAGGGTGATATTCCCTAAACATGTGTGGGAGTTACTGGAGGACATGATATCTTTCCTCAGAGAGTGTGAAGTTTGACATTTCATAGCTATTTTCTAGCATCAGGTGAGGATGTAGAACTGCTACGGAAGTATCTTGTGAAATCTGAGGATGAAACCCACACTGTGGGAGGCAAAATGAGAGAAATGGTGACATCAGTTAGTTGCTGGAGCAAACCTTACCTGATGGCATTCCAGCTGTCATCAGGTAAGGTTTCAGTTATTCCTATAACTAAATAAATGTCTCCCACTATTTAAGCCAGTTGGAGTTGGATTTTCTCTTCTGTACAGCAGAATGCCTGCTAGTTCAGTCATCCTGAAGATCCTCTCTTTCCTTGTTCAATGCTGGAGCCTCTCTCTCACAGGGAAAAAAAAATCAGAGGAGGGAAGAAAAAAAGAGAGGATTTGAAAGCCAAGACCATAGATTTGACTTCTTAGTAGCTGTTCTGGAAAGAGGTCCAACAGGGGACACTTGGAGCTGTTGGCCAGAATAAAGTCCAGGGTTACTTGGAAATGTCAGTGGTCTATCCTCTCCCTTCTCCCACAGATAATCAAGAGTTGGCTGGGAGTGCTAATCCCCAGCAAACACAGCCAAGGAACTATCACTGCTCTGAAGTCCTGAGCCCTTCCAGAAGTATAAACCCTCATGTTCAGAATGAGTTCCAGGGCTGGGGAAGGGGCCACCTCGAGTTAGTGACCCATCTGGAATACCATAAGCTGTATTGTAGGCACTAGAACAGCAGCCTATAAGCAGTCCTGCTTGCTCCTGTTCCTCTGTGCCCTAATTGTGCCCCAAAGAACAAGAGGAGGAGGCCTGAGGGCCAATCTCACCAGCCTAGGAGAGATAGCCAAGAACTGTGCAGAGTACAGCCCCTCCTGATAGCAGGATTTGACACAAAGCATGGGGTATAGTTTCTGAAGTGCTAGGCAAAAAGCCAGAAATACATACCTAGGACCATCTGAGATTGCTCTGAACCCAAGATGGGGAGACGGGTGGGCCTGGGGGATGATGAAGTAACAGTCAACAAAGCAGGACATCCAAAGGGCTGGGCCAGCTCAGGGGCAGCACCCGATCTTCCAAGAGAAGGGGCAGCGTCACAACAGCAGGGAGTTAGGGAGATGGTCGCTTCCCAAGGGGTATGTCCACAAGGGGTAGAGCACCAGCCCCTGGTCTCCAGCACCAACACCCTCAAGGCATCTCCTGGAGGTTTGGTTTCCTCATCTGGGAAATGGGAATGATAATTCTTCCTTAAAGATGTTTTGATGAAAAAGTGCATGCTAGGCTCTTAGGACAGTGTTGGGCATACAGCTGGCTCAGCACAAATCGTTTTGTCTACTGGGCACAAGGGGAGCTGGCATGGGAAGTGCTGGTGAGCAGCTCAGGAGCCCAGGGCTCAGACCCTCTAATCAGTCCACCCTGAGCCCCTGCGGGTGGAGATGTGGGGTAGGAGGAGAGCCTCATGAGGTAAGTCCCCATGGAGCTGGGCAGAGGCCTTCCCTCCAGCAGTAGGGGCAGCCCCTTCTGCACCACGGTAGGCAGGCCTTACTGGGGAGAACTCAGTGTGCTGCCAACTGGGTCTGGGAAGGGCAGAGCCTGGAGACACATGGCCCGGACAGGCAGGACAGGGGGCCGGGAGAGCAGCGGTGCAGCACAGCTGGCCAGGTGGCTGCCTGTCGTGGCCCTCTATTTCCTCTTCCTCTCAGTGCCATGGCTAGATGAACAAGGCTGAGGAAAAACCACAGGGATGACAGTCTTTGTCTCAAATTGTGGGATGCAAAGTCTCTTAAACAAATGCCGTTGGATTTTTACTCATGTTTCTGTATTTCATCTTTAAAACTCAAGGAAAAAAAATTTTTTTAAAAATCGGCTGTGCATTCTGCCAAAATGTTCCTGTGTCCTGCAAGCCCACTTCCTGCATCTGCTCCCTCACCTTAGGTCATGAGAGGCGGTGGGACAGAATGCCTAGAGCATGCCCAGGGCCAGGTGGCTGCATTTGGAGCCCAGCACCACGACACTCCAAATCTAGGAGCTGTGTGACCTTGGATATGCTCCCCAACTTCTCTGTGCCTTCAGTTCCCATCTTTTTAAAAAGCAGAAATAATGGTAAATTTAACTAGCTAATGTGGATTAGTATTATTAAATTAGCTAATACTTAACATAGTATTGGCATGTGGTAAAGACCACATGAAAATCTGCTAATATTTAGGTTGCAGTGATGGCCCTGTCATGCACAGCCAGGCTGCTAAAGGTCTCCCTGAGCCTGAACTCCCTGCATAGACACGAGGGCCCCTTAAATGCCCACTTACTGCCCAGAATGTGGCACAAACCGCACACTTAGTGAAGGCTTAATGTATCCATTAGCATTCTTTTGGTTACAAGTTAACAGTAAGCCTGCCCCAAACTGACATCAGCAAAAACGAGATTTTATGAGCACACATAGCTGGAGTGTGTGGCTTGGTTCGGATGCTCAGAGGATGAGGTCAGGCTCTGGTGTCACTCTCTTCACTTGGCTCGGTTGCATGTGTTGACTCCACTGCCAGGCTGGCTCTCTATTCACGGTCACAAAATGGCTGCCAATAGCAGCAGGGGACACCTCTTCCCTGGCTCACAATTAGTGAAAAAAAGGAGTCAGGCCACTTCCCTGCAGGCTCAAACAAAAGCCTTTAGCCCTGTCTTGTTGCCCCCCCACCCCCCACCACCATCAGCCTGACTTGATCACCAGCCTTTAGATTAGTGAGGCCTTGGTTAAGGCCACCCCTGGGGCCTGAAACAAGAGCCACTTACAGAAGTGGATGTCCAAACAGAAACTGAGGCACCCCTCTCCTCCCCAAAGAAATGTGCAATATTGGAGAATCAAGCCAGAAGAGAATTATGATATAGGAAGGAAAAGCCCTTTTTTCTTTTTCTTTAATGCCACTAAGGAAATCTCTTTCCATTCCAAAAATGAGGTTCTGTGCAAGTTGTGGAAGGATGGTGAAGACTCCATCTTGGGAATAAGACTGCCTGGGGCAAATTCTGGCTTTACCATTGACAAGGGGTGTGACTCAGAGCAACTGACTCTACTACCTCGGGCCTCAGTACGAGGCCAATAATCCACCTATATCACAGGGCTGTGGGGAGCATTTCAACAAAGGACAAGGCCTCAAAGCATGTGTCTGGCCTGCAGTAAATAGTCAATTTGCACTTGGAATTGTTACTACTGAGTGAATGCTCCCAGTCCAACTTTGGTGTGTCTCTCGCAGTGCTGGGCTCTGGGTTAAAAGCCTACTGGAGAGAGACGGTGACAGCAGGGCAGGGGCAGGGAGGGGCACAGTGCTGACACCCTCCTTAGATTGGGGAAGACTGCCCGAGCGTAGGACCCAGGAAAGACAGGCTCAAGTGCAGACTGAGGGCAGGAAGGACCAGCCCCAGGACTTACTAAGAAGTGCTCCCTACCCCCGCGTTCATAAGAAAACCACAGCACCTCTTTTTGCCTTTATAGCTGTCTCTTCTGAAGGAGGCAGTGAAAAACACCATCCAAATAAGGCCCAAAACTGTGCCAGAATTTGCATGCAGAGTGTTTATATAGATTAGAACATCTCTGTTGACTTGCAGCTTAAATCTCCGAGGCTTTGCAGTTCATCAAAGTTTAATGTTCTGTTTCATGATGTTCCTTGCCGTCGCTAAGTGGCTCTGTCAGCTCTTAGAAGGGACATTTCTCCTCCCTGAGCTGGAGAGCCCCGTTGCTAAAGGCATCTGTTCTGTTTGCTTTTGACAAGTACAGATGTGAGTAGTCACCGAGTCGCATCTTTTGTTCTGCTCATCTGGCAGCAGAGGCGGCTGGCTGATGTAACAGCTGCAGGACACTGGGGCTCCCGAAGGGGGAAGAGGAGAAAAGAAAAAAAAGCAACTGTCACCCAAGAGGGTATGCCAGCACTCAGAGGCCTCCACGAATTGGGTCTGTTCTTCACAATCTTACTCCACATCCCTCCAGCCGGTGATGAGATGCAACTCAGTTCAGCATGCCTTCAGTGAGGGGAAGGTGGCAGCTCAAAAAGACCATTAAAATAAAGTTTCTGCCCATTACAGGAGTACACTCCAGTTGGGGGTGGGAGGCTCCTGGCTGGGGGGAGCTGGCTTTACTGCGAAGGCATCCTAACTGCAGAATGTTAATAGGTGCCCCATCCCCATCAGGGGATAGGGCCAGGCCTTACAGTAGGTGCTCAGATATTACCTCAGCTAAGATTACTGTTCAGGTCAAAACTACAGATATTTCTTGAGTATTCAATGGATTTCCTGCACTGTGAAAGCACAACATAAGAATAGCTGCTCAAGAAAGATTTGTGGAGTTGATGACTACCTCAAACCTTACCCCAAAGCTAACTTCTTATATCGCAAAAATGCCATAAAATAAGTAGAAGAAAGCGTAGATGAATATTATTCCAAATCCAATCACATCATCTCCCCTTGCTGCCTCATTTCTTCAAGCCACCACCATCTCTCCCCTGGGCCATGGCACTTGCTTCCTAACTGGCCTCCCTGCTCCCAGCTTTGACAGCCCACTCCTCTTAGTTTATTCTCAACACCCAGTAGCCAGGTAATCCTGTGAGTACACAAGTTATATCATGCCACTTTTGTGCTCAGAGAGCCCTCCAGTCGCTTCCCATCTCACAAAGGGCAAAAGCCAAGCCCTTTCAATGAATGACTTTCAGGGCCTTATGTGTCTTGTGTTCTCATGTGAGTTAAGTGGCTCCTACAGCCCTCATTGAGCCACCACATCTGACATCATGTGGAACAGAGATGAGTTTTTCCTGGCTGAGCCTGTAGAAAATGCAGTATCATGAATGAATGAACAGTTTGTAAGCTACTAAGTTTATGGTGATCTGCAGCAATAGATAACCACTAAGATTTCACATTTTAAAATATAGTTCACTGCTAAAAGATTCAAAAGCAGAAAAATATTTTAATGAAAGGATAAGCTCTGTTTTATGCATGAAATTTCAAAAGATTACAAATCAGCATATATAACAGTTTTAAAAACATATTTTAGTATCTGTAAAGTTCCCATGTGGTTTGAATTTTTAATAAACTTATTTCCATAATAGGCATAAACAAGTTACAAAATGCCACTCAAGAGTTCAACAAAACTGCCAATTATTTATTTGCTCTAATTTCTTTAAGAATGGAAAGTCAGCCAGAGGGTGAGAAAAGAAATTCTCTCCTTCATTTCGATCCCCTCTGTCTTCTCAAGTACACATTGTCTTCAAAGTCACAGGAAAGGGATTAATCACAGATGAAATGTAGAAAAAGAAACAGAAAAAGTTAGTTCTTAGGCTGAGCTACCAAGAGCCCAGTTCCTGATCACTTAGGAAATACAAGCACATTTTGACTGTTTTTAAATACGTTTTGTTCTGGTGGTGGTAGAAGTGGCAGTGGTGGGGGCTGGGGTGCCTTGGACCTAGACTCAGGTTAAGAGGCAGGTGCACTGCACAGCCCGGGTGCCAGACTCTACACTGGGCTATGGTGTACGGTTGGTGTACAGAAGCCTGGCTATGGAGCCGTTGAAATTGGTTCCCGCATTCCTTCCCTGTGATTCCTTAACTCCTCTCTGTATCCTTAGTCTAGTGTATATCACTGCCCCTTGCAAACAGAACCATCTGAAGTCAATACTGCCACCCTGAGTGTTCAGGCTACTAAAATGTCATTCTTTTTACTAAACCTCTCTCATCCTGGTATTGATTTTTCTTTTTGGAGACAAAATGGGGTAGTTTACATTTTTCTGAGCTTCATTTCGTCTTTTTGGTTTCAGTGGTGCTTCCCAGTCTGTCCAGAACAATTGAACCTTAAATAGATCCACCTGTCACACAAACTGCTCCTCTCAGCCTTAGGTCTTCTGGAAATTACACAAATATGCTTGGGTGCCTTCATTGAGAAAAATGTTGAATTTTTAAACTCTGTTGGAGGGGGCAGAGTCTTCCCACAGAATTCTGTAGTCATTTGGTGTTTAAAAACCCCACAACCACCATCAGAAGATTGTGATAGTATCAGATACATAGGTAGGAACCATCTGAGCAGGGGTTGGGTGACTGGAAGATTAAGTGTCCACAGCCTCACCCAAAGTAAACCTAACCTCCCTTAGAATCCTTTCATTTCAGTTACTGTTCTGCCAATGCACTAGCCCTTTTTGAAGCCCAGTGCAAACATATGCTCTGTGTATATTATTCTAATATGTCAATGTCCTCTTCCTATTTGCCAATGTAAGCTCTTTAGAGTCAGGGACAGTTTTTATTATTTGATTAAACAGAATACAGGATTAGGGGCTTCTGACTTGCTGGATGGGGGAAAAGGAGGTGCCAGAGTAACATAGAAGAGGTTTCTATAAAAATGTCTTTTTAGCATTTAATAAGCATAACAAACCAATGGAGAAGGATTATTCAATAAACAATGTCAGGATATTTGTTACATATTTTGAAGGAGGAAAAAACTCCATTTTGGCCTTAAACCCATGCTATGAATCAAAATTAATTCTAAGATTGAAAAGGCAAATGATGCAAAAGCAAATCAGTAAGCAGATGTATAGATCAGTTGAACAGGATTGAGGGACCAGAATAAACCTTTGTATTCATTCTTACATTTATGGCCAGTGGATTTTCAACAAAGATGCCAATGCAATTCACTGGGGAAAGCATGGCCTTTGTAACAAGAGCTGTGACAATTGGAGGGTCACAGGCAGAAAGATCAACCTAGACCCTTACCTCACCATATATACAGAATTCAACTGAAATTGGATCATAAACTTCAGTTTAAAGCTAAAACAATAAAACAGAAGATAACATAGAAAATCTTTAAAACCTTACGTTAGGCAAAGATTTCATAGATATGACATGCCAATTATGAGCCTTAAAAAAGCAAATTGATAAATTGGGTCTCATCAAACTCAAAAACTTCTGTGTTTTACAAGACATCATTAGGAAAATGAAAAGACAACAGGCTGGGAAAAAATATTATAAACACAACTCCTGCTCTCCCAGGAGCTCTACTTTAAGGGGCATAAGTGTGCACACAATAAACAAATAAACAAATAAGAAAACTTTCACATAGTGATCTGCAGAAGACAAAGCTACTATGGTTGTCACATGTTGGCTATATTAAATTGTGTAGTTAAGTTCTCTGCTGTGATGTCCCTTATCAGTTTGAGCTCTGAATAGCAAACAAAACATCAGCTGTGTGAATATCCAAAAGAGCGCCTGCCAGGCAGAAGCACCAGCATGTGCAAAGGCCCTAAGGTGGAGACAAGCTTGTTATGTTTAAGGAAATAAATGATGGCTGGCAAGGCTCTGCCAAAGTGGGCAAGGAGTAGCAAGACACCAGATGAGGTGAGAAGATGCTTGGTCCCAGAGCTAAGGTGTGAGATGGTCTGTCGTCATCTGTGACGGAATCAGATCAGTGTGTGATCTCTACTGAATGCAGAATGGATTCCAAAAGGCTGTATCACTCAAGAATTCTTAGTTGTAAATCACAATGGGAACTTTGGCTAGCTTAGCAAAAATAAATGTATTTTAATTTTATTTATTTACTTATTTATATTTTAAAATGCATTTATTCTAAAGAATTTCATTTTAGAAGAACAAAAACTCAGATTTGGGCAACTCAGATTTTTCTTGAAGGGCCTGAAAAACAAGACTTGGAGTCAAGGGTCCAAGGACAATTCTTAAAATCACAAGGAGGGAATGCCTACTACTGATGCCCCATTGACAATATTCCTGCATGTGAAATTCAGCTTTGTCACCCTTGCTAAACTCAAAGCCTTTGCTTTTGCCACTTCAGAAGAAAGAACAATTGCACAGACCAGACCTTCCTTTTTCAAGCTGCTCATATCGCCACTGAACCAAAGTCTCCCAAGCATGCAAATAGCAGAGACTGGGTCTCCAGCCAACATCCTACTTGCAAAAGAAGCTAAGAATTTCAGTTTTCTAGATTGAAAACTTTAGGGGGTGAAACTCCCAAGGCTGGAATTTTCTCAAATATAAGAGGGATATTTTTGGAAAGTACTAGGAAGTCAGAAAACAATAAGAAGTCCTTGACATGGAATGAGAGTAAAAAAAATGGATCCAAATTAGGAGACTGTTACAGAATTTTAGATGAAGGATAGTGGGAGAATGATAGGCTGGTAAGTTAATGCAGGATGGTGGTTCTCAAGGTATGGACCATGAGCAGCAGCATGTTCTGAAAATTAGGTTAGAAATGAAAATTTTAGGTCCACCCTGAATTTACTGAATCCAAAGCTCTGAGGGTGAGCTAAGCCCAGCAATTTCATTTTAACAAGCCAACCAGATGATTCTAATGCATACTGAAGTTTGAGAACCACTGGTATTAGGCATGGAGAGAAGAGAAATATTCAGAAGCAGTCTGCAGAACTTCTTAATGGAGTTGATATAGAATTTAAGGGAAAGAGCAGAATCAAGGAAAATATCTAGGGTTTTACTTGAACCATGGAGAAGATGGAAAGACTGAGAAACAGCTGGTTAGGGAATGAAGATCGGGGAATTCTCCTGTGAATGGGCAGACGTTTGTTAGGCATTCAGGGGGAGATGTCAAGAAGGCAGCTGGCGGTGAGTTTGCAGTGTTTGGGAGAGGTCGTGGATGGAGAAAAAGGTATGAAAAGCATCAACATTTAGATAGTATTTAAAGCAAATACTAGTAAGCTCACCAAGAGAGGATGTTTAAAAAGCAAAAAAGTTAAGATCCAGGACAGATTTTGAAAGTCAAAGTGAAGTGTGGGAGGGGGATTCAGCCAAAGGAACTGAGATGGAGTGGCCACCGCAGACATGGGTGGACGTGGTGGACGACTCTTCTAGAATGTGGTGCCACAGGAAGTAAGGAAAAGGTGTTTTCAGGAAAACAGTGTGGCCCATTCCGCTGGATGCTGCTGAAAAGTCAAGAAAGATAAGAGGACAGTGACGCCTGGATTTGGCAACATGGAGTTCTGGGGAAATTACTAGATTTTTTTCCCTACATTAATTTTTTTTCTTCTACCCAGAGGCCTGGGGACCTAATGGGGAAGATTAGATAATATATTAGTCAACTCATACATACCGCATACCATAGACTGGATGACTTAAACAACAGAAATTCATTTTCTCATAGTTCTGGAGCCTGGAAGTCAAATATTAGGTACCAACATGGTCAGATCCTTGAGACCTCTCTCTGGGCTTGCAGAATTTTAAACACCTTGATGCTGTGTCCTCACATGGCAGAGAGAGAAAGTGAGAGCAGGCTGTCTGGTATCTCTTCTTAAAAGGGCACTAATCTCATCATGAATGTCCCAACCCCACGATCTCATCTAAACCTAATTATTTCCCAAAGGACCCAAATCCAAGTACTATCACACTAGGGGTTAGAGCTTTAATGTATGAATTTGGGAGGGGTGGGTAGCAGGACACTATTCAGTCTATAGTAGGTAAGTTTTATAATATTAAGAAGATAACTTTTCCTTGCTCAGTTGAGTGGAGGGTGCATGAATCAGCGATATTGCTACATTAGTATCTCAAACTCTTCTCAACTCCCACCCATTCCACCTCTCCCCTCATGGGTTTTCATTATCTCACATGTAGACAAATAGCATCCTCACTTGTCCTCAGACCTCCGATTTTGCCACCCTGACTCCAAGGTGTCTTCCATGAACCAGACTGATTTCATGAAAAGGTGGCTCTCTCCAAGCCACTCCTTTGCCTCAAACTCCAGAGCTCAACCATGTTTCCAAAATGTGCCCCATTCTAAGAATCACCAGGATGGTTGTTAAATAGTCAGATATTAAGACCCTCCATGCGGTTTTGAGAACTGACACTTGATAAATTTTTATGACATGTCAACCAAGTGATGCTTATCATTAAGGAAGTCTGGAAAACATAGCTCCACACAATTAAGTTCAAAATCCTTAGCAGGACACAATAGGGCTTGGTAAGCTGTCCCATCCTTTCTCTCCACCTGACATTCCAACTCCAGCCACAGGGAATTACTAGTGGCTGCTGGACACCCCCATTCTTCCTCAGGTCCCCATGACAGCATGTGCCTCTCTGTCTAGAAGGATGCCGTCTCTTCACTTGGCTACCTAACTCCTCCCCATCTTTCCCATTCACGCTCAAAGCACCCTCTTCCACGAGGGTCTCCCACCTCCTCACTCTCTGTTGACACTCTTTACACCTCTGCTGCAGTCTGTGTGTCTCCACTGTGACTACCATTTCAGTGTTTTATATTTGTTTATCTGATTGTTTGTCTCCACCAGACCAATAGTTTCTCTAGAGAAGGAATGGGACTTTTCATCTTTGGTTCCTTGGCTCCTTGAATAGAATCAGGTGCAATGCAAGTACCCAATACATGTTTGCTGACTAATAAACTAGGTAATTATTAAGGGCAGGACAAAAGAATTCAATTGAATTGCATATTCCTTAAAGATGATCATTAAAAACTAGGGGGAAGTTGATCATCAAGCATGCATATACACACAAGCGCACATGCAGTGGTATCCAAAGATCTCTGCTGTCAAATCCAAGTGAGACATAGCGGCCTGAGTCAGAAACAGTGACAAAGCAGCATTGTTTCTGACAGTCAAGCTGGAGAATGTGGAGCCTTCCATCTAAGGCCCTGTTGGGATTCTGAATGTCTTCTGATTGAAGGGCTTGGTACAAATCATCTTCCAGAAGATTTTTGAGAAGATTCTTCCCTACTTCTGCAGGGAAATGGAGATAGCCTGCTTCTAGAGACCAGACTGCTCTGAAGGGAAACAAGGAAAGGCTGCTGACCCTGTTGGGATAAGACCCTTCCCCAATCTCACCAGCCAGAGAAAGTTATTTCTCTTTCTAGGAAGCAGAAAGGAAGAGTAGAAAGAGAGAAAAAAATGTTTCTTTCATGTATCTCACTCCTTGGAGTAGAGTGGAAGTCTCCCCTTCTCTATGGAATCATGGGAAGTGGGGGACACATTCCCCTCCCTGGCCCCCACAGTGGAAGTTGCTTCAAGAGGGTTGATATTTGTAGAGTCAGCTTTAAGAAGGAAGTGAGAAGCAATTTTTCCAAAGTCAGAAGAGAAATGGAAAAGTTCACATCACGTGAATCTGTGGAGAGCTAAGAAGGAGTCTGTGTGACAGATTCAGAATCCAAAGTACAAATACTCCCCAATTTCAAAGTCAAGAGAAGGTGGGCAAGTCGCTTAACCTCTCTGAGCCTCCCTTCAGCATCCTTTTCCCAGGTGGGGTGGGGAGGGTTAACCTCTGTCATGCCTCTGGTCAGATAAGATGACAGAAGAAGGGCTGGGTGGCCTCTGTATTATCCATATCATGGCAACAGTAATGACAAATGTCACACTCAAGAGATGGGGGACTGGGGCATCCAGGCCTCTGCCACTCTGGTGGTTGGCTCTTTCTCATCAGTTTCATTCCCCACTCTCCCACCAGGTGTGCCCCCCTCACCAAACTCCTCCAGTGTCAGCTCTGCCTCTGTACCCCAAAAGACAGAATTTATGTTTCCTGGCCCCTCAAATACTATTGCAGTCAACATTCAAGAACTCTCCCACACCAGCTCTGCTCTCTATGCCCTTGAACTCTGCCTCTGATGTTATTACCACCTCTGGTTATAAGGTTCTAGGGATTTGCATATCTCAGAAATGAGCCCCCTTTTCATCAGATGATTTCTGAGTTCAGTAGAGAAAAATCTTCCATGGCACAAGCAAACCTCCAGGTCAGAGGATGTTCCTGATTGGATGTCAATAGTAAATTCCCCAGCAATATTCCCTACAACTGCATTTTCTGTCATGTGCTACACAATGAGCAATATTTTGTTCTGAGAAAGGTCTATTCCATCCTCAGACACATTCTACAGATGAGACCACAGGTCCTAGAGGGGATAAGTGACCTGGCCAGGACCCTACAGCAAGAGAGAGAGGCAGAACCAAGCTGGAAGCCAGGCATCTGGCGCTCGGCCACTGCAAACATGTTCAGCCCCTGGAAGTCTGGCTCTGTCCGAGATTCTGCATATTTACTTAGCCAGTGCTTGTAGAGCGCTTACTATGTGCCAGGCACTGTGTGGAGCACGTTATAGGCATTAACTCATTTAATTCTCATAGCAGCCCAAGATGGGGAACCTTCGGGAAGCTACTCAATCTTTTAAGCTACTTAACCTCGATTTCCCTTTCTGAAAGAGGGGACTCCAAGAAATACCTTCCTCCGAGGATTTTTGTGATAGTCTCATGAGCTGACTCACTTAGAACACTTAGAACAGTACCTGGTACAGAGCAAACACACGTGACTAAATATTTGTGATGTAGAAAATAGGGACAAGGGCCCCTACCTCAGTCTTGGGGGGTGAGGGTAAAGTTCCCAGGAAGCCCTAGTTGGTGAAGAGCTGAGTAGTTCCATGCTAGTGAATGAGCTTCTTGCGTCTGTGAAATACATCTTTGGACGAGAGTATATATATATACCCTCCAAGGTATAAAGATGTATTTGTTAGCCTTTTCTTACAGATATACTAGCAATGAAAAACTCATGTTCCCCCATCTGACCAATCCTGAGAACGATGCCAAAGATTTCCTGTAATGTAAGGGACTAAAAATACTTTTTGATGATGGAGAGAGTGGAAGTTGAGCAACACTGACTGAAATACGGAAACGATACCAAATGGCAGCCACGCAACAAAGCAAGCAACCCACCTGGGCTTTGATCTCTCCATATTGCTTCAAGACTCTGTAGATTTCATTTTGTTCCAGGAGGCCATGCTGTGTCTTTGTGTTTGCAAGCACCATCTAATTTTCTAGAGAAAAAATTTAAACCATGACTGATGCTGAATTATAGCATAAAATGATTGCTAGCATATTGAACACCTAAATACTATAACTTCTTCCTCTTTGCAACCCTTTGAAGATCTTTAAGAACTGGGAATAGGCTTTTGGGATTCAACAACCACTTCCACATTTACTACCAAATTATTGTTACAATCAGATATATTTCATATACTGTCATATTTTTGTTAAATTGAACCCTTTTATTAAAGCACAGTTTTTTTAGTTTGTAAAATTCACTATGTGTGTTATTTCATTTTACTCTCATCCCCACTCTGTAAGAGATAGTTATTATCCCCACTACCATCACCCCCTTTTACAGATGAAGAAACTGTGCATAGAGAAGTGATGAAGCTTGTCTGAGACCACACTGCCAGCAGATGACAGCCTCCTAACACACAAGCCACTCCTGTGCTCCACCCCGCTGATCCCCCTGGAATTCAGCTGTACTCTCTGTTTGGGGTATCCTCCTTGCTATAAATCTTCTCTGTTTATTACAGCTGATCTCCAAAAGAGGCCACAGCCTGGCCAAGAGGAACCTTCTCTTTTTCTCTGCAAGTAAGTTTTTCCTCTTCTGCTGTCTGGAAAAGGTAGCTCAGCAGCCAATTCAGTGAGCAATTCAGTGATTTAGGAACAAATATGTGGTACAGCTGAGTCTCTCCAGATGTTGAGCTAAATAAGACACAACTGGACTTTTAGGATCTGACATCCATTCAGGCCAAAGTGGGAGGAGAAGGGGCCCAAGAACACATGAGAGAGTAATGATAATATTCTTATTCAAGAATGCCTACTATGTGCCAGACACTTTACAGAGGCAGGACTCAGGATAAATAGCTGGTAAGGTTTACAGTTACATGATAAAATATTGCAATTTCCCTCCCTTCAATTACTCTCCTTGAAGGAGGGTTTTTCCACTCTTGCACAGTTGAACTCAGGAGTGGCTGTGTGACTTGTGTTGGCCAATGAAAAGTAGACAGAGATGACACATGTCTTCCAGCTCAGGGCTTTCCATCTCTCTTTTCCATCTGCCACATAGACTGGCAATGTTCCAGATAGAGGCTGCATTGGGTTCCACAGAGGGGTGGAGAAGTCTGGTTTCGGCCAATCCACAGTAGCTATGTAATGTGCGCAAGCACTATTTCTTTGCTGTGTGTTAAACCTCAGATGTTTTCAGATTGTTGTTACAGCAGCATAATCTGTCCTCTCCCGACTGGTTAACTTACATGATATCCAAACTAGTTAGTGGCTGAGCCAGAATAATTTGTCTCCAGCATTTAATGAACACTGTAAGTGCATTAATGATACTAAGTGGTTTCCATATATTATTTTAATTAGTTCTCACAATGACTCCATAATTTATATATATATAATTCTTATCCCAGTATTTCAATTAAGGATGTTTTTGCTCACAAATTTCATAAAGAGCAGATCTGGTACTTGAACGCAGATTGCTGAATTTGTATCCCAGTCTAATAATCATTAATCTAGGCTGTATCTTTGTTCACTTTCTGAGGACACAGAGCTTGAGAAATTGAAAAGATCAGAATGAATTTACTGATCACTACCAAACTTTCAGATGGTTCTTATGCACTTACAAAGTCAAGAGAATAAGATAACTGCCCTAATTTATGAACACCTAATGAACACAGTATGCATGGGCACAGGAGGTGGAAGTATTTGGAGCTTCCTTACCTCTCCTCCATTCCTGCTGAACTTCCTCAGTTCAGACCTTCTGCTCAGCTACTGACCCAGAGTTCCTACCTTCTCTCTTCTTAGTGGACAAAATAAAGATATAAGAGTACCTTCCAGTCTAAGACAGAGAGTAGCATGGGAAACAGAAACAACAAACACTTTGGAAGGAAATGTATCTGAATTCGAGTTCTGACTTTGCTATTTGGTTTGGGACTTCGGGAATGCTGCTTCCCTTCTGCATCTATAAATGGGATAAACAAGGTAAGGATGCCTACCTCACTGGTCTATGGGGGAGGGAGGGAAGAGGATCATTTTGGCAAGGGCCTTGGACAGGTTCTGGCATATAATAGATACTTGACAAATGTTAGTTCCCTTTGGAATTTACCCAAAAAGCATTATGTGGACTGTCTGCTTTCATGGCTGCTCTTGTCCTTTGCTCCTAAACTCTCCATCCTTTCACTCTGAATCCAAAGGAACCAGTGGGTCCCAGACGGATGTGTTTCCTGATTAGAGCTGCACCTAAACATACATCTTTTCCATGAGAATGTAGTTTGGAAATGGAGATAGGTTGGCTTGAAAACTGGGCTAAACTTGAAGAATATTAAGAGTTAAGTAAGCCACAAACTGGGCTTGGAACTAATTGCTTTTTAGGAATATCATTTACAGGGGAAAATGCAAACCAAGTTCCAAATACTCAACTCCCAATAAACAGATGGATTGTAATCCTTTGGAAGTAAGAGATAAATACATATGCATGCACATATTCATGGCAATCATTTCCTTATAGATATTGAGTCATTAAATGAAATATTTTTACCACTTCCAATTAACTCTTGCAATTACTAAAACATTTTTTAAGTGACCAGTAGAACAGCATTCCCATCTTCTTCTCAGTCTCTTAGCCCTCAATCTGAAATGTGGAGTTGGGGCCCAAGAGTCAACCTCAGGCTCATGCTCTCTGGGTCATTGAGCTCCCCACCTTTTTCTAATGAAGGTTAGAGGAAGGCTCTCCAAACATGCAGCTCTTTCCATAACGGAAAGTTGAAGTTCACAGCTGGGAAACCTCTATGTATCTTCAGTGAAGAGGCAGAGGAAAGAAGTTCCACTTGATTACTGGCATGTTGAAATTTTCTCCATTCACAAAGTTGACCAAGTGAAGAAGAAAAAATGGTGTATTTCTTTGCCTTGTTATTCATGTAATTCAGATCTCTTTTGGAGAGAAACACGTATCACTGAGAGGCTGAGAGGGGCAGTGACAGAGCCCAGGACGTCAGAAAGACCCAGATTCAAATCCTGTCTCTGATGTCAGCAACTCTACAATGGAGACAGGAAACTTAATCTGTGGGCTGCGGTTCCTCAACCGTAAAATGGGAATAATAACTCCTATTTCACAGAGTATTGCAAGAATTAAGATATCACATAACAAAAGTACGAGTACACAGTTAAGTATTCAAGAAATGACTACGGTCATTGATGATGGAATTTAAGGTCAAGTTGGCAATCTGGTGTTGTGATTATCAGTTAAGCAATAATTGCATTTCAAAAACCAATCAGATTGAGTCCTGGGCATCAGGCTAAGGATTTATCCAGTTTCTTTTGCTATTCCTGCATATGAGATTTTCTCAGAAAAACATTGAGTTGTGATTCCTTATTAAAACTAAACCTTTCTACAGATTAACTTTATTATTTTAAGCAATCTATTTACTTTTCTAGGAAAAATGAAAAGATTTTTAAAAACTAATTATGCTGCTTTAAAAGGCATATGTGGAGTTGGAGGTCAATATAAAGTAGAATAGATTCCAAAAAAAGAAAAAAAAGAAAAATCCACAGTCCATATATGTCTTCTTCACATATAATATGATTTTGCCCTTCCTCCCATTATGAGATAACTTATTTCTCAACCCCTTGACTCTAGGCTTGGTTGTGTAATTCAGTTTGACCAATAGGTCAATAGCAAATGTAAAATAGACAGAAGCATCCTGGGGCCTGCCCTCTTTTGCTTCCCTTAGGCAACTACATGAAGATGCTCAGGTTAGCCTACTAGAGGATGAGGAGTCATATGGAGTAGCAGCAGGCTTCCCAGCTGGTTCCAAACACCAACATCCAGACATGTGAGGGAAACCATTTTGGACCATCCACCTCACCTGAGTTACCAGAGAGCTGAAGTGATGAGAGTGACCTCACGAGAAACCGACAGATGAACCACCCAGCTGAGCTCAGCCCAAATTGTCAACCCACAGAATCATAAGCAGGTAAAATGGTTGTTGTTTTAGGCCATTTGTGGGATGATTTCTTAGGCACAAACGGTAACTGCTACACAAAGTCTTTAACAGGCAGCTGTGTGGGTGGCTGCTGAGTTCACAGTAAACCCCCATTCTCTAGCACTAGCCCCTACATTGTAGGTGTGGGCTCCCAGCAGCCCTGCTGCCTTCGTCATGTTGCTTGGATCTAGGAAGAGCCCTGTCTGAGGCTGGACCAATCATATACCCTCTCACATCATGCCAGTGTTTCAGATGTCTGTGACCCACCTACTGTGGTTCCTGAGGTCTCCAGCATTGCCCCAGTTCTGCTCTTCTCAAAGCCTGGTTGTTCTACAGTTCCTCAGACTTGGTGAGCCTCCCTGGTATCCTTCAGGTACATTCCATTTCTCCTCAAGACAGCTGAAGTTGTCTGTTGTTTGCATCCCCTAAAGTTCTGAAAGAATAAAAGTCCCCTTTGAAGAGTTTGACCCTCCAGATGAAGAAAGGGTAATCAGTAAGTATGTTTGAGCCCTCATTGTGCACTGAGCACCATGCTGGCCTCTGCAGAGAAAAAAAGAGGAGAAAGCAGCACCCTTGCCCTCATGGAGTCTCTGCTCTAAGAGTCCTCCTGGCTCAATTTTCTGCCTGCATTTTCCCTTGATTTGCAGAACCTGGCAACAAAGGGAGTTCTACCAAGTCAGCAGATTGAATTATTCCTAATTAACATAAATTCTAAGACTGTGTATCATCCTTGACTTTAGCAGGAAAACCCACAAACAGATCTAATTCTTCTCTGCTGGCCTTTCAGATCCTTGAAAGAGGAGGAACTGAAAGTCCCTTCTGCTCCTGAGTATCCCATAGCCCAAAAGGGATCCAATGCTTTTGCCTGTGACTTTTAAGAAGGCTTACTTGGTATTTCTCTCTCTCTGTCACTCTTTAAATTTAGCCCCTTTTAGAAGTCAGGTAATACAAGGAAAAAGATTTATCTAACTGATCTTCACTTTTACTTTTACTTTTGTTTTTATTTTAATGGTTACTTGGAAGGGAAGGGTTTACAGGAGACCTGACATTGAATTTCCTTGTTAGGAGGATTGTGAGACCCTGGAAGATACTTCATGCAAAGGCAGAGAGAAATGGAAAGGGGGAAAGAGACACCTCCCAGGCACTTTTATATACAGGATCCAAACAGCCCTGTGAAGAAGGCATTAGTATGCTCATTTCACAAATGAGGAAAAGGAGGCCTGAAGAGGTGAAGAATACCCAAGGCACAAGAGTCTTAATTCAAGTCCAGGCTTGTTGTCATCCAAGCTCCTGCTTTTTTCCGCTACCTGGCTGTTTTTCCGAGAAGAAAGCAGTGGAAGCTGAGTTAGGATGGTGTCCTGCCACTCATTAACAGTGACTAGCAACTAACTTTACAGTCTTCCCTGGCTACCAAGATGCATCTATTCCAGTACTTTCCAAAAAACAAATTTATTTTAAAGATGTCTCTGTGATACCAGTAAGTGGGTATCAGTAAATGTTCCACAAAACAGGAATTCCCTCAATAAATAAGATTTAAACTACCTTCTTTACTCAAGGATACCTCAAAACCTTAAATATATTTAAAGGGCCCCCATGAATCTCCAAGGGGAGGACAGAGTGTGATATTAGTTAGGGTATACCTTAGGTTGCATGGCAAAGAGACTCTAAACTAAAGTGTCTAAAATAGAAAATCAATTTATCTTCCATGTATCAGTACAGAGATGAGTGGTCCAAGGCTGTCCAAGTGGTTCTTTCACCTCAACACATGGCTTCCAAGATGGCACCAGTGGTTCCCATTTGCCAGAGGAGAGAGGAATACAGATTTCAGAGTATGAAGTTTTCACTTTAAGGAGATAACATGGAAGTCACAAACATCACTTGTGCTTATATCCCCCTGGCCTAAACTCAGTCTTGTGGACACAACCAGATACAAAGGGAAGCTAAGAGATGCAGTCTCTGGTTAGGTGCCCAAGTGTCAAGCTAAATGCAGTGAGTTCTTTCACCAAATGCAGAAAAAGAAAACAAACACCAGAGGAAAATTAGCAGTTTCTCATTGCAAAATTCTTTTTTATGCAACATTATCAGCCAGGATATGAGAGTTAGTGATGCAGTAACAAACAATCCCAAAACCCAGAGGCTTAAAACATGTAAGTTTAGTTCTCACTCACGGTGCATGAGGAATGGCAAGAGAGGATCTGATCTTCTTTCTGAGAATAAGGTTGATGGAGAAGCTATTTCTAGAGCAATGCTGATTTCCAGGGAGGAAAGGGAGAGAGTGAGGGTGAATGATGCACCACCACATCTAACTTCAAGGAAATATATTTAGCCTGATGGTATTTCACAGACTTCCTTAAGTGCATCTCCCTCAAACTAAGCCTTTGCTCCCAGAATTGAGGCACCTTAGATATACCCACCCTCATTCTCCCACAGTGTTCCTGAGTCTTCTGAGGAGAAAGGGCTTCTCTTGCACAAAAACCATATTGTGCCAGTTAGAATACCAAATACAAGCTCTGGATGGTTGTGGTGATTGGCAGAATGTCTCCAGTTACTTCTCTCCCTTTTTCTCTGCCCACACTACCAAAAGGCAGAGACTGTTTCTCCAGCCCTTGAATCTGGGCTGAGGTTGTGACTTGCTTTCAACAATAGAAAGGGTCAAAAGTGATACTGTGCTCATTCAGGGCCTCAGCAAGGCCTTATACCCTTCCATTCTCTATCCCTTGGGAGGCTGCCACCACTATGTGATCATTATGTGCTGATAGATCACATGCAGTAGAAATGAGCCTTCTCAGCTGAGGCCACCCCAGATCAATCCCAGCCAACACAGCAGCTGACTATAGACACATGGATGAGCCAGTTAACCCAAGTCCAGATTCATGACCCACGGCTGGATAAATGGTTGTTTTACATCACTAAGTTCTAGGTGGGATGGCACATGCAAAAGCTAATGCCATAGTGGTTTAAGCAGGAAAAAAAAAAGGAATTTATTAAATGGTTATATCCCCTGAAAAACCAGGGCACTGTGAGGCTTAGAGACTATGCCCAGAATCACACCACAGAACTGGCCTGGCACAGAACTGCTGTATCTGCTACTGTGGATACCAGCACTGGGACTCCACCACAGCCTTGGACCCGGGTAACTGCCACTGGGAGCACCACCCTCGGGAAAATAAATGAAGCTGTTACTGCTGCCACCTGTCCCCAGACAAACAGGGACACCAAGAAATCAGAGCTGTGTTGTGCCTGGTCTGAACATCTGCTGAAGAGATTCATTTGGGGGCTGCTTCCCCATGGTCAATGGGACATTGTGTGTTAGAAGGACCTGGGACATGGCACATTATGCCACTGTTCCTTGGCTTTCACAGCTACAGAACTGGAGGCTGGAATGAGCTGTGGTTAAGGCCCTGTCTGAGACTGGAGGAACCCATTTTGCCCAAAGATTTCTATTCACAGAAATAACAGAGCTCAGGAATATCAAGGCAGCCATGAAACATGAAAGAAAATCAAATTAACCTAAAGCAGCTGTGGCATCATTGCTCTCCTTTTATCCTTTGGTAATTTGTTTTCCAGGCTGCTTTTATATAAAACTCAGATTTTCAGGATAAGGCCTCAGATATACAAGCCTCAGATTCCAGGATAAGTGGAAGAAAAACAAGAAATAAAAAAAAGATGATTTCTTGTTTCTCTCATCAGATATCCTCTATTCTCAAAGCACTTCCAAACCCTCCACCCCACCAAGAAAAAAAAGGCTTGTGTCTGCATTTTTCCCCTTAGAGAGAATGTTGACTTTCTTCCTCTTCATTTTGACACTTTCACTTCCTTTGTTGCAAGGTGAAGTGGCCACCAGATTCAGGGCACAAGAAACTCGTTTCTACCGCCTTTCATGACTCTTAAGCCTCCAAGAAGAACCCATATTAAGGGTCTCTCTTCAAGATGATTGGACTGCTGTACCTAGCGTTGTTGAGGTGAGTGACTCCTCTAGCAAATTCTCTGTCATATCGTCCATAAGAATACTCAATGTGCTTTAGTTCCTGATTTAGGAAGAAGTAAATTGCGTTTTGTCACTGCCGCTTCAAAGTGTGATGAGCTCACCATCTCCTCTGCCGTTTCAATCTCTACCCGAGGGTGTTCTTGTCACATCCCCTTCTGTCTGATGAGAACTTACTCAGCAGCAGACGGATGCAGGCTTCAAAGGATGAGGTTCCTATTCCACTAACAAGAGACTCTCACTTCCTTCGGGCCCAAACCCTGCCTCTTTCTTATGCCCTTTCCATCGCCTTGTGTTTTGCTAATTCCATACATTCTTTTACTTACCCTTGCAGAGAGACACAAGGACTGTTCTGGAATCAAAGACATCTCTATTCCCTCTAGGTATTTTAAATTTTAGATGTTTCCTTTTTAATAAGCTTCTCCAGAAATGCATCTGTTGGTCGATGATACTAATCAAGGTAGTTATTTACTGGAAAGCAGGAAGCTTGGTCCTAGTACAATGTTGGACTCTGCTGGTGCTGCACAAGGGCCTACAGCATACTTGCTCCTCTCGGCGTTGTAATCTAACTAGGAGATAAGAATAGAATTCAATCATTTGTACATTCAATACACAATTATTAGGTGCCTACTGGACACTGGGTGGTTTCTGAGCTCTCAGTTCTCTTACCCAGGGCAGGCAGGGGTTAGGGACTGGAATTACGATAAAAAGGGCTACAAGTCCATATAAACACAAGCATTGCCTGCAAATTTCCATTCTCTTCTTATTCACGCATTCATTTGACAAATATTTACTGAGTATTCATAAACATGCCTGGTGGAATAATGTCTCAGACCTGTCTATGTATTTTCCAAAGCATTTGGATGCAGTTGTGATCCATTCAATAGAAATCCACTTAAAAGTTTTACTGAATTTGTAATGTCCTTTTGTCATTAAGTATTTTCTTAGTCAATGATGCCTGAAGTTTATTATCATCACAGAACTTCACAAGAAGATTCTTTTTTTTTTTTTTTTTTTACCAAAATCTTATCTTTGTTCCCAGCAGACACTAACTGAGAGCCTGCAGAGCCTGTAATTTTGGTTCAGTATTGCATGGGTGAGATGGAGACACACATAAGACACAGTTGGTCTCTCTAATGGTTCTCTTTGTGAAGAAGCCATCATTACCTACAGCCACTATGACCCTCAAAGTTTGTGCAGGGACTTTGGGTCACAGGGGAAAGTCCTGTGTAAGAGATGACCTTGGGTGGAGAGATGGATGTGCTGTGCATGGAGCACAGTAGGGACTGAGTACAAGGCTGAAGGGCAGTGCAGAGAGAGGAACAGGCAGCCTGGGTAGGGCATAAGGAGTATAGCCTGTGAGGGGTCCAGTCTATGGGGGGTCAGTCTGTGAGAAATTCCATCTGTGAGGGGCCCATCTTTGGGAGTTCAGCTTGAGGGGAGTTTCT